CAGTATCCACATTTCCCCAAATTGTTCTTAATTCACGTAACAAACCTTTCTGAACTGCATAGCCTATATATTACTAAATGAAGATTTGGCAAATGATGAATTGGGTGCTATCTGGAGGGGAACAATTGTGACTGTAGGAATGAATTTATTATACAGGACTTTGTCTGGAGGGACTGAGGATAATCACAAAGGACCCAAGTCAGGCGGCTAGCTTGTGAGCTGAAAATTGAATCCGACAGCTCCGAAAATGAAGCAGTAGTGCTAACCACTACACTGTAACAGTCATTGCCTTAAACATGTTGTAACGATGCTTAATGCGAAATAACTTTTATAAGTTCAAGATGGTTTTCAAAAATATCGCCACTGCTGACAGAATACAATTTCAGGGCGTTGGCTATTAAGCTCTAACCTGATTTGACCCTTGTTCTTTCTGCTTGCAGCAAGACCTGGAGGACTTCTTGACTTTAAAGGCAAGGCCAAATGGGATGCATGGAACAGGAAGAAAGGAATATCACAAGAAAATGCCAAGGAGGCATACATCGCTAAAGCCCAGTTATTGATTGAAACATATGGTACCAAATAAAGGGCTATATAATGAAACAAATTTTACTTGGAAGTTTACCTCCTCAAGGTACAGTATCACAAGTCAACACCAGTAATGCCCAGTCTGATGGCATGATTTAAATATATAAATAAGGATGCAAATAAATTCATGGTACCATGCTACTGATTAATAATGTAATGGTTTGAAAATGAGCTCCTTGGTCAAAGACAATTTTTGCCAGTAAAATTTCTTACCATGCCTTATTATTGTCCATAAGTAAGAAGGCCTTTTACTGCTGCATAATAGACATTTGTTTTGTCAATTTTCTGCTTACAGAGTGTTTAGTGTTGGCTTGATACTTCAAGGCTGTATAGATGTCACTGTGACCATTATGATAATTCTAAAGCATATTAATCAAACTGATGTTTCTTCATGTTGAATTTTAAATGTAATATTTTCCATGCATTAATGTAAAGTTTCTAAAGATTCCATAAAAATACTTTGCTCCAAGTGTGTTTATTTTTATGAACTACCTGTCAATTATGTCCATTTTGATACTTGTTCCAAATATTGCTGATTTCAGGACAAGTGATTTTTATTTTCAGCTATTTGAGGATGGGTGTGGGTGGGAAGACGGATTGCGTAAAAGCAACCCTCAGTAATTAATGAATAAGAATAAGCAGGAAGTTGCATACTAAACGAAAATTTATAATTTGTAATCAAACTTGTTGATCACAGTGACTGTGCAGTAAAATGTATGGGTCTTCGGTTGCTCTAACAATGGGATCTTGGGTTTGAATCCCACTTAAGGAATGTGCCTGTGTTTTATTGTCCTGTGTCAGTAGAATCAATGTGATGGGCAAAGTCATTCATCATAAGTTAAAGTATATTTGTGCATATCATGAGAATGTTGATGAATTTAAATGACCAATTTTAATTCTTTATCCTTGCTATTGTTACTAACTTCATGCAAACTCATTCTAAATTGTCAATTTTATCCCTTATCATATTTGAAAATATTTAAAACCCATACTACAGTGCTACGAGCTGGACATTAACCCCAGGGTCTAATGGTTTAGCGATATGCATGTATGCCATAGCATATGGTTACTAACACATTGTATTGTCTTTACTCATTTGATTATGCTACACATGAAGAAGCCTGTCCTTAAGTACTGATTACCGATCAATATATTTCATTTGTCATGGGGAAATACAACGTATATCATGTAATATCCTGTGCTCCCTTAAAATATAAACTTCACTAATTCTCTTGCTATCAGTTTCAATGAACTTATGATGCAGAGGCTACTGACATTCCAAGTTCCACATCTGAGCAGTCTACAAACAATTCTCACGGTTTCAACATGGTGGATAGCTACAAGCAGGGCTCCATATTTACAGCTTAAACCTACTAGCCACTTACCAAAATATAATCACTCATAGTGTTGCAATATGTTTTATAAAAATATTTTTATACTTACCACTGGTCTTCAATAAATCATCATATACAGCCTGGCTACAGGCTTCAACTTGCTATTTTAGCTTCAGTTCCATTAAAAAACCAACATGAAAATAATCTACGATAACAAATTTTTGATAATTTCTACAAAGCAGAGAGCTACAAGTTTACTTCAACCATCTATTCTGCTATCAAATCAGCATCTAAGCACTCTAACCTGTTTATCAGTAATGGTCCTGGGCAAGACTGCAAATTGTTCACCAACCGACTGCCTAGATGATCGCACATTCAGCTTTATATGGGCCATGATCTCTAAACCTGTCAACAAAGCATTAGCTAAAGTAAATACGCAGAAATATTTGTCATAAAGTTGTCACTACTTTTCATAGGTTGTCTATGACTCAATATGTGTTCTTTTAAGTTAGGTCCATGTCTGAATGTTGACTGTGAATCAATATGCAGACTGGAGAACTGGAGCTCTTGCAACCTCTGGCAGCCATCTCCATGGTTAATGTTGACTACCAAGGAAAGGAAAGACACCATTGTGAGACAATATGAACACAGCAAGGAAAGAAGGAATGTCGCTTTTATGCCTGAATTTTTGTGTGTAGGATTTGAAACATTATTTTCCTTGTGGGAATGCAAAGGATAGGCTGCATTTCTTAATGCTGTGATCTGTAGTACCAACCTAGTTAAAGATTCAGAAACACTGCCACATCCAAGTTTTAACCAAAAATGAGTGGGGTAATGATCCAGTTCACTAGTTTGGATCAGAGCCAATCCAAGTGAAGAAAGAGGATCACAGGACTGACAACATCTGAGTGAGGATTTGGATTGGTTTAAAAAGAATAGGTTTACAAACAACAAATATTGCCAACCTCTGATCTGGACTAACTTGTTCATCAAGAGAATTAAGTCTTTTGAAGCTGTTTTTCTTTTTACAAATGTTATGTTTCTGATGATTTTTATGAAATTTCTAAAGATGTATTAATCATCACTCAGGACTAGATGAAATATAACATAGACAAGACTTGGTATTACAGTCTCTCCAAATGCCAACTTTATCTTTTCACAATGTGTGTGCAGTGACAGCCATTGTTGAACAACATTCTATCTGGTGTAAAGAAAATGCTACTTCTAAGAAGTAGTCTGTATTATTTGTAAGTGTACTTTTATGTCTTGATCTACGCTGTTTGATGTAGTGATAGTTATGAGCAAGTACTTCAGCTGAGCTGACTACAGTCCAACAGTAAATTTCACAATTCCTCTTACGAAGAAATCCTGATCCCAGAGTAACTGGTGACCATTGTGTTATCACATTTTTATAATGTATGAAATACACACCTTCCTATTTTGCAGTTAAAAGTTGATGAAAATAAAATAAAATTGAACAGTCAAGAGTTACTATAGTATCCCCCAAACTGCCTTAATGTAATTACCCAGTATATATTATTCAGCTTTTTAAATATTTTCCTTCGGTATTTTGCTTTACCTTCAAGTCTGAAGACCATGAAAGATAAGTTTTATAAACCATTTGCATAAAAATGAAACAGTTAAAAATTTTTTGTTTTAAATTCTGCTGTCACAACAAAAATACAATTTATTACTGTAGTTTCCACCAAATCACCTTGCATTTCTATCTGTAGTACTATTATTTAGACTAATACAATACTTATTTCATTAATAACTGTTTAATTGTAACCCAGGTAATGCATGCCAAGGGGAATTTGTTATGTCCCACAAAAATATAGATTTCTATACTTCACAATTCAGTATTAGAATTTGATATATGTATATATAATATTTACATCTTCACAATACAGTTTAAAATAAACACATCATCAGTGTTTATACAATTCATACAAGGCAACAGAGAAAGTGTGGCACAAGTAGAAGGATAAATTTCTGGGGAACCAAACTATATATTTGTCTTATAACATCTTCACTTGCAGAGGTAATGCACCAAAACACTGTTACTCAGGTACAAGGGACTCTGTGTGTGAAGAAGAGAAGAGAGGACAGCTCCATTCAGTTTACATCAAGTAATGTTTCAATAATGTAAAGAAAATTATAATAATTTTCATGATTTACATAATTGCAGTTTTTGTCAGTCTTTGGTTTCTCCTACAAAGGCCAAACAAAGGTGCAGGCAAGGTAAAGGATAAACAGTTAAGTCATGGAAACTTAAAAATTATGTGCAGGGCAGATGATGTAGCAATTATTGGCTTCTTACTTGTTACATGTAAAGTGAGGACCAGGGATATGCAATGAAATTTTGTTAATATTCACCAAATTCAATTTCTCAACAACAAAGATATAGGCCCACTGCAGCAT